CCCCCCCTTCCCTCACCCCTTATCCCTCTGCAAGCCGATCCCCCTGGGGGTGTGCGCGCCGCGCGCCCCTTTGGAAGGGCGGGCGGTAGCGCCATGGTAGAGAGGAAGCCGTGTGAAAATTGGAAAAGATTTTCCACCGCGCGGGAGAAAAAAGGCGCTCCTCTAGTTTGTGTGTGTATGAAATTTAATGTTATTGCACGTTTCCCGCGGAGGCATTCGCCGCTAACAGGGCGAGAGGAGTTATTCCGAGTCCTCATCACGACTGTCGCTCGCGGCAGCCTGCCTGAGTTACACTCCAACTAATGTGTTGTATACGTAATGTCCCGGACGAGTGCGTGCCGCGCGGGGCGACGCGACCCTGGCTGGCGCTCGGATGTCCCCCCTTCCTCTTTTAGTCTCCGGGAGTGGGTACCCCGAACAAGGGTTCGCGATGGCTGCGTCTTCTCGAGTGTGTACCACACTAGTTTGGCTCACTCTCTGCGCAAACACCGCTAGAGGCTGACTGCTGAGGCGAGTCATGCCAAAGGCATGGAGTAACTAAATGATCGCTGCAGACGAGATGTGGAGTCGAGTCATCTCGCCCTTCTATCGAGTGGAGTCGAGTGCGGCGGCGGCGCTGGCTATACAAGCAGCCTGCAGCGTAGCGAGTCCCGGGCCGGTCTGTCGAGTCCCCCTCCCTGCCATACTATGAGATCGTTTGGAATAATTTGGTTGTGATATTGATGACCGAATCTTGCCGGGCGAGCGTTTTTCGTCCTACACGGGCAATGCAGGTTGAGTTAGTCGGGGACGTTCCTGTCGCTGTCCATAAACTTCCTCGTCTCGTCCGACTGTCCCCTGCTGGCGGCGGGGGCGCGCTTTAGAGTCCGTCTCCTCGCGACTTTGCACTAGTAGCACACGTTATCGATAATGTATCGCGGGCTGGAAATAGCCTCGCTCGGCCCTCTCTTTCCGTCGTTTGTCCTGCTGCTGCTGCCCCGTCATTATGCGTCCTCGGCCGGGGGCGGTGCGGGGGCGGTGCGGGGGCGGCACTGGAAATGGACGACCGGCGGCGGCCTTTGCCGCCCCCCGGCGGGCTGCTGCTGCTGCTGCTGTGCCGCCGCCGCCGCCGCTAATTTGTGGGCCTGACCGCACCCCGCGCTAATGAACGAACGAATGGATGGATGGCCCGGGCGGGCGGGCGACGCGGGAAAATGAATGAACTGGATGAATGGGGGCGGTCAGAGAGAGAGAGAGACAGAGAGACAGACACACAGAGAGAAAGGCGGTGCCTTTTAGGACTGGTTGGTGCGCTCTGCTCCTAGAGTTCGTCGTGTCCGCGGGGGAGGAGGAGGCGGCGGCGCTGTCCGAATTGTTAAAGAGCGGCCGCACGCGAGCCCGATTGTGTTACGCCCGAGATAATTCGCGCGCCGCACGCGACCTGAGTTATGCACGGCGCATAATGAATGAGCCGCATCCCTTCTCTCGCTCACCCCTGTGTCGTATTCGATTTTAAAATGTGTGTGTGTGTGTGTTCGATAATGTGAAAAAGGGGTGAGTTTGTTGGGTTTAGCATTATTAATGCAAGCTATGTATACTTTCATTATCGTGCGGTGGTTTCGCTCGCCGTGTGTTTTCATCATCATGCTCGCCGTAGGGGGTCTGTAGAGGCGACTTTAACGTACATAATAATAATCGTGTGCGATGCACAACATGTATTGTTTCTGTGCGGCCGGCCCCGCGGCGTCGATGGCCGACGGCGGCATGGAGGGGAGATTTGGGTTGTATTATCGCCGTGACCGTCGGTCGGTCGGCCGGCTGTATATTGTGCGTATAATGATTAGCCTCGCTTATCACTTTGTCTCGCCCACCTTTTTGCACACTCTCCCTTTCCTCTCGCTCTCTCGCCTCAGAGGTGAGGGGATTTGCAAACGGATCGCGCCAGAAGAGAAGTACAGCCAGTTCCTGCTCAATTTGACCCATTTCAAGGTAAATTTTGGGGTACGGAGAGACGCGAAGATTATAGTTGTGGTGAACAATGATTAGCTAATGGCAACCATTATACGGCTGGCTCGGCTGGCTCGGCTGGCTCAGCACCGGAACAAGTGGTCGAGACGAGCAATTACCATATGTGGGGAAAACCAAATTTCTGGGTTGTCACAGTAATGTGAAATCATCTTTGTATATTTTGTGGCGCTTTTCCGATGGTTTTCCTGGCGCTTTGTGTCACCTGCGCCGGTGGTGGTTGCGACGCGACGGCCTTATCGGGCGTTGACCGTTTTGCTTTCTGCTATTATTAGGTTTTATCGGCCGCGCGCTCCCCCCGCTGTTGCCTTTGTTATTGGCCTTTTACTTTATTCCGGTGGGGCTCGCGGTGTGTGGGCTACCGTGTGCGCCCGGCGCTCCACGCCCCGCCGCGCTCCGCCACGCCCCGCCACGCCCCGCCACGCCCCGCCACGCCCTCCAGCCGACACCTCTGGAGATGCACGCTCCAGATCGTTGCCGCAGGTGCACGACTACGACACGGCTCGCCTCCTCGCCCCCCGCGCCGCTCGCCCCACTCTTCGTTATGCCCTGTGCTACTCATTCTGCACTAATAAAACATAAAACACGAAGATATTGTCCGGATTTTTCGGATATGGGGATAAAGGAAGGGGGTTCCTTTCCATGCTAACGAATTAATTTCTTCACAATCGCGAAGGGTTTTTCGTCTCATCAGAAACATACCGTTTGTGATTGGTTCGCAATACCAGCGACACTGTGAAAATCTCGTACATGTACGGTATACATTTTGTTATTTATTGCCATTCACAAGTCGATTCGCCTTGTAAATTTACAATTTTGAATTGTTGTTGTTTGACATCTTCAGTGGAAAATTTACCTTACCTTGGTACGCGACAATTTTTCACAGTGGACAATTGTTCGAAATTTTTTCTGTGTTCCTGCCACGTTTTGCCGAAATTAAGTGTAGCGGTGTGTCGACATTTTTTTGTCTCATTTGTTTTGTTTGCCGCCCGCGCCTTTTACTCTGGCCTTTTCTCTTTTTTTCTGCACTGCCTCTGTTCGCTCGCCGGTTTTAGCCCTTTCTGTTTTCCACCTCGGTGACAGCAACAAGGACCTCGTTTCCCATCGCACGACAGCTGTTTTCGGCCGCATTTCGCCGTCGGAATTGGCGCGCTGGTATGTCTGGTCCCGCTAGATAGCATCAGGTTGGAGCCTTCTCTGGGGGGACCCTCTTCTGGGGGACCCGGACCAGGGCCCCGCAGGGTGCAGGGTCGCCACCGCCACGCCCCGCCACGCCCCGCCACGCCCTGATCCTATCAGTTTCGTTTGCCGCGCCGCGC